ATTTTTATAGATTTGAATAAAACCTGTGCTAGACTATTTTATAATTATTTTCATAAAAAAAAGAAAAAAGAAAAACAAAGGTTTTAAGAAATTAATATTCAGTCAGTCAATTCCGGGTCAGTACGGAAAATAATGAAAACCAAATATTTAGAATAAATTGAGATACTTGTCTATAATATAATATAGTATAATGATATCATGTATTATGATTTATGATTGTCAAGTGACAAATAGGTAAGTAGGTACTAGGTGCTTTTCTAAAAAACATAAATATAATTGTGTTACAATACATATCAGAACAAATGTATATGTATGTCTACAAATGTATTTATCAAACAGTATTAATGTTTAGTTAATGTTGATTAACATGTCTTTGTTGTTTTAAATTAAAATAATTAATAAGTAACAAGTGACAATCTCTAATGAGTTTTATATAATCACCTTTGTAAAAGTGTTTACTGTCTATGTTTCTTCTCTACATAATATTATCCACTCTGGTATGCATTATTCTAAACATTTCTTAAGTCATGGTTTGAACTTTTTAATTCTCAAAACCACCTTCGAATTGTAGGGTGTGTTCCTAGTGGAAATAGTGGAATATACGATTACTTTTATAGTCCATCTGAACAGTATTTGCTACATTCAATATAATGACATTGTGACACCGATCATCGTTTATGATGTAGGTACTTACGTATTTATACCAAATTCATTTCGGTTTTAAAATATTATCAGTTAAACCTTGTTGCACTTTCTTGACTGCAAACTTTTTGTATTCAATGCATTTCTATTATTTCCTAAGTCTTTTTTAAACACTTTAAAAAATATACGCTAGCTATAAGACTTTGATAAGATTTTATAACAAGCTAATAAATTGATCAGTTTATTTGTAATTGAATTTAATATTTACCCATTGGAAGATGATTAGACGGAACAAATTGAACTTTACTGCTCGACATTCGTCTCGTATCTATATCTTACGAGTAAACTGACAACAATCAACATATTAGGTAATAATAAAGCATAGTAAGTAGGAACAATTTTTTTTGTTTTTATTTATTGACTTAAAAACCCAGTGAAATAAATAAATTTAAAATAGATTATAATACATTTTAACCAATTTATTAACAGTAAATCATAGTACCCAAATAATTGTATGAACAACAATTAATACGTGTTAAATAATAAATTGTAGAAGAAGTCCGACCTCACACCTGATGACACTTTTGAGAACATATCTCATTTGTGCCATGTCTGTGATGTGCAAAGTCGTTCAGTACAAGTAGCCATTTGACAGCAAATGGACGCACTCGCACTTGTGAAAAATCGTACCCGTGAGATGTATGCGTCAAGTCGTTCGATCTCTGGAAATTTTACGGTACACTGATCGGATTGCTCAATGATTTACATGATCCAAGGACCATATTATTAAGATGGTATAAATAATCTTAAAATATTATTATCATGTCAGGTGTCTTAATTTAGTCAAGTACATAGTTTTTCCAATAAATACTAAATTGATAATTTTTCATATGTTTAAACAAATACTAACATTTGAGGCGTGCCATTATCAATATAGTTAGTGATCTAATTTTAATATTTCCAAATTGGCTGATGATCAACTGAACAAATTTAACTTTACTGCTCATACACATTGCTTGAGTTTGTCTTGTACCACAATACGTTTAAAGTTAACTTGCAACAATCAATGTACTAACAAAACATAGAAGGTAATGAACTAATGAGGTATACATATCTATTTCCAGATGTACGGTTAATTATTTAATAGGTTAAGAACTATAATAAGTTATAATTTTATAAGTTTGGTGTATCGTCTAGTATCATTATTACTATTAAGGAACGAAGAATTTATTTCTCCACTATTCAATTGTGTGAGTCGGAAGCACCTGTATATTTTATATTTTTGTAAAACCATTTTTGAGGACTACCTATTAACCTTTTGGTACAAACATTTAAATAACTACGGAATAATTATTCATTAAAATTTTGAATTAGATTTATTTATTTATTAGGTAAGAATAATAATATATACATAATCACATATCCACCAAGTAGGTATATATTAGATAACATAATAATATTATACTTAATAAATATAAATTATATATGTGGATTATTATTCGATATCTGACGCCTAGATGTAAGACTTGTGTTGGGATCCAGGGGCAAATCAACATTTTGTAAAAACATTGTACATTACACAATTCACAGTAAACAAGGGGGGTTCTCATTTGAAGAACAGATTATATCAGCACGGACACTCCTTAACTAGTACAAACAATTAAAAAAAATTTAAAATAATGTTTTTAGTATATTTGAAAATTCCAAAAATCATATTTTAAATAACAAAATTATTAAAGAAAAAAGTGGGTGAGGACGCTTGGTGAATCACCCTGTACATTATATTACTACCTATGTGATTCACATTCACTTTTATGACTAAATTTTAAACATTTTAGAGCTTGCATTGCATAATAAAAGCGGTTAAGAATTTGTCATCGACCATGTCCCAAAACGTAACATAAAAAATAAATTTAAGCATAGTAACAATTTCAAGTCAAACGTAAATCAATTCATTTTGTATAAGCTTTCAGGTTAACTACACATTATTTACCTTAAACTTATATTTTTAAAGAAAAAAACGTACAAAAGTAAAAACATGTACATTAAAAAAAAATATATGTATTATATATACAAATATTTATATACCTATATACTATGCAAATATGCATACACTTTTTCCGCCTACTTACAACTTATGAAAAACATATTTAAAAGTACCGAATAAACAGTTTTTAAAAATCAAAATTATGCAATTCGAAAATATATTGATGTTACAATTTTTTAGCTATAAAGTATATTAAATGCATGGACTCTCAACTTAAATATTCAGTTAGTAGAAAGTTCGATACGTACTGATTAGTCCATCAGGTAAAGAAATAATTAAATATACCATTTTGAATTTCGAAATAGATCATATTATTTAAAATTGAATTGTAAAATATTGAACATGGATAGGTTATGCAATGATTTACAAAATAGTATTATTCTACAATTAGACAAACAACCCTTCGTTTCAAAATGTAAAAACTAATCGTTTAACTAAATAAATGCAGTTTATGAATGGAGAATAGTTGTAGTTGTCGTACCTAAGCGTTATAATGCACGTCGTGCTTTGGACGATAATATTATGGTGCTATACTGGCATATTATATATTATAATATGTATTAAACAAATTTATATGCACTTTATAAGTGGCATATTAGGTATTTGAGGTACCTTATAATTTACTTGTATTATGGTTTACATAACCATCAACCAGAATCATAATAATATCCTTTACCTGGCACGCTACAACAGTTCAATACACAATATTGTGATGATAATATAACAATCGTGAATATTTGGGACTCGTGAAACTCGTATTATTCGTAGTTGTTACTTAAATTATTAAAGGTTAAGTTATTGTTTAAAATAAAAATATCATTATTATGTGTAATTCATTTTCACAACACTTTAACCCGCTGACAATATTGTCGCTTACAAATTACAACTCACGAAAGCGGTATAAGACCGTTAAAATAATTATTGTTCAATAACTATAGATAATATGTGTATCCTATTATTATATAATCAAGATGTTTATTTTATTTTATTTTTTTGGTTTTGTTTCCGTTTGAACCCTTTAACTCTTGTCAAAATGGTTTTAAAAATCTTTTCTGGAAGTATAGTATGAATAAAATAATAATACATAAAAACTTTTTTCAGACAGCTAAAATACTAGGTATTAGGTACATACGTGTTTGCATTATAGATAAAAAATATCTGTTACTACCTATGTAGTTTATCGAACCTATAAAACGTATCGGCCAACACATAATATAATGATGGAATTTAATCAACGAAAGATATGTTTCCACGAGATACGGATTATCCAGCTATGTTTACTGATGAGATTAATGGCCGTAATTTTGGCGATTACAAGAAATGAGGGCAAATGCGGTTATTATCATCTGGCGGAATAACGTGTTTACATCATGACCATTGCGAGAAATAGGAAGAGAAAACGTGAATTATTTTTTTTATTCCGCATCTTCAAAAGTAGGCGATTATTAAAGTAAAGAAAGGAAAACTGCAATCATAAAATTACGTGTTCGTGTACGTGTGGTATGCTTTTACCAATAGCAGAATACACGCCGACTGTCGTAAAGTAAACCACGGTAGTAGGCACCAGGCGCGTGTGAACTTTAAAAGTGACATTCCAGAGTCTGACGGTAGATTTAGGTTGGTCCATATCGACGTTTATCGCGCAGTAGGATACTAGGATAGATGAGTGGCATTTCGATGTTTCGATGTCGCGTTACCTCGCCACCCATAATTATTAGATACGACGATGACGTTGTTTATTCAACGCCCGAGCTGAAAAGATACATGTCTCGACCCGTGATGGTTTTGAAAAATTAAAAAACCAAAAAGCAAACGGATCAAACTCGAAAATCCGGATTTTTTCGAAAAAAAAAAAAAATAATAAAACCAAATCATACACAAGGCGGACTGCGTTTGTGTGAGATAACACGCAGCGATGATTTCCGGCAAACACCGGATCGAAAGATCTCGCTTAAACGACGACGACGAGGAAGAAATCGAAATGCGTCTGTCGCAAATCGGGGTCACCGCGCGTATATATGCAACGTATAATTATAATATGCACGTGTATGCTGAAATATACACAGACGCGCATGCACACGTCATATACATACATTGGATGCGTTTTCGGGCGGCGATTGCAGACGGTGGCGACGGTGGCGACGGTGGCGACGGTGGCGGCGGCGGTAGGATCTATTCGTTCTTGTATATTATTATTATTGTTCCTCGCTCGCTCTCCTCCTTTCTCCGCCGCCGCACCAATCGGCGTCACTCTCTCCCTCTGGCGCGCGCGCGCGTCGCTCAAAGAAACCGGTGAACGCGCTCGGAGACCTCTCGGACGCCGGTTCGGTCAGTGCGATGCCAACTGTGTTAGCGTCCGCGTTACACGATGACGACCGTCGTCAATCATCATCTTCCCCCGTGGTCCGCGGTCACCGCAGTGGCGTCCATCGCCGCGATCGTGTTCGTCTCGTTGGCGCCGGCGTCGCTGTGTTCGGTGCAGCAGTCCGGCAGCGGCAACGGGCTGTGGGACGACCTGGTCGGCAAGTGCGACGGTCCCAGGAACACGATGGACTGCGTGCGCAGCCGGCTGTACAATTACGTCGATCACACGTTCGACTCCGACTTCAACATCACCGACGGGCTGATATTCACCAAGAACTCCAACGACTACGAGTCCATGTGCCCCCCCGGCAACAACGAGACCTCCACCACCCCCGCGTCCTACCGGGAAGCCCGAGCTCCTGAAATGGTAATGACGCGATCCACACGAAACGAGGGTTTTCCCGCTCGCCGTCGTCTCTATTTGCGTTACTAAATTCATCACATCGGTTTTACTCGATCGGCCGGCTATCGCGATTAGGTCGAGACCGGTGACCGCTAACCGCAGAAACCGCAAACCGGGGGGCCCACTCATTCCATTTAGCCGGGTGTACGCATAGCTGTAGGCGTCACGTACACATAATAATATTATACACGGGAATCGCGCTCGTTTGCATTTGTCGCGGAATTCTAGTGTGCTGCACTCCGCTAACCACAATCGCGTTAAATAGGACCTAATGTAATAACAAACGTGTTAACGCGGAAATTGTGCTAGCGCATTTTACCGTAATAATAATAATGATAAAATTCGACTGATTAAAACCGGTCAGCGGCTGTGTTCCCACCGACGACCGTCAACTGGTTTGTTGTGAAAAACAACTGTTCCATATTTTTATCATTTATACCATTATATTATACCTCCCCGGGATCCCTGGATAATGCCCCCCCCCCACGGAGGCGTCGTATGGTATCGGGCTAGGGCTAATTCGTTATTTTGCTTTTCTGCAGGAAGAAGAAGCAGCAGCCGATGACGGCTGGTCCGACGTCACAGAGCAGCTGTACAAAAAGGGCGCCAAGTACTTGGCCACCCACGACTTCGAGGCTACTGTACCGAGTTTTTTGGGCGGTGGACCCGGTGCTAAGGTTCGCCTGTCGCCCAAAAAAATATTGCCCGACGGCGGTATAATCCTGCGGATGGACGTGTTGCCGGCCGCGAGAGACGCTAGATCGCCTAGGTTCATGCACAAGATGATAAGTAAGCAACGCGTTCGATTATAATAGGAGTTATAGAACTCTCGTAAGACCCTAATCAAGTCAATCTGTATGTGGGCGTTTATTATAGGAGGTCATACTTAAGATAATTACAGTGATTTGGGTGTCCGTAAGTGTATCGTTGCAGTATAATATAACTGTTAAATGTATGGAGTTCAATAATAGGCAGGTATTATAAAACCCAGCGGGTAGGTAGGTACCTAGATATCAATTGAAATACCAACCTAGATCTAAAAAAGCAGTTTAATTCATATGCATTAAGCATAGGAAGTCAACTCATCACCAATATTACCATAAGGCGTAAACACAGAGTGTTTTATCTACTCTATCCGTGTTAATCAATTTGAATTAAATTACAAACATGTCTGTTTGAAGAATACTGCCAAAACGAATACATTTTTAGACGTAGATGTTGAATTCACTCTGAAATATTTAATTAAAGCAATTAGTCACGAACGTATTTGAATACGTTATTAAAAAGAGAAAGCATTTAAACTGTCTATGAGGGGCCTTGAACTTGATTTGGCTGGAATCCAAGTACGGCGACTCCGATTTACCACCAGTGAGTTTTATGTGTGTCAAAACGATGTCTTATCGTAAATACACCATGATTTTCAATAAATTATCCTCATTATGATTAAATATCACACAACACTCTAATACGAATCGTTTGTTTGTTATTTTTTATACACACATTATTTACTCGCCTTACTGTTTCAACTAACTTTATGTTTTTAAATCATTTATGTTTCATCTATAATAAACATCATGTTTCATAAACACAAATAACATACAAAAAAATCATTTTGAGTCTTATAAACAATATAATTAACTACCTAATCTTATCTAAATATAATCATGATCCTTAAAATGTAATCATAAAACTAGTAAATCATTCCAAGACATCACTCTTAAACATTAATAAGTATTTGTATGTGTAATATGTGTATTGGTAGTTAGGTTTATTATACTTAAAAAAAAGAATGATCTAGTTTAATTTTAGTTAATTTAATTATTAGTTAGTTTAATATTAATTTAATCTATTTGTTTATTTGTTGTATTTTTCATAACTTTTCAATACACTAATATTGTATTATTTATATTTGATATGCTTAAACATGCAGTAGAGCAGATTAGTACAGTAGAAATTTACATGATACACAATTAGTTTCCTAAATCTCCAGGCCATGCTCCGGTCAACAAATTGTTTAATTGTTGTGAGTAGGTATAGGTAGGTAATAAAAAATATATTGCTTTAAGATGTGAGGTAATTAATGTAGAATGTACATATTATTAACCTAACCGAAATTTAGTTATACATATTAAGTTAATCTCCCAGTTAAAATGTACATACTAGTTAGCTGAAGTTTAATGGGAACTTGTTAAATGACAGATACATATTCCTCGAATAGCTTAGAATACTTAAGTAGATTCCAAAATCAAGAACTCAATAATATCAACATTTTTCTTTCACTTTTTTGGGATCGGAGAGTTAAAATACGAGTTTTTATAGCTATTTTATTATACATAGGTAGGTACCTAAATATTTTAAATAACACATTTTCACTGAGCATGTTCATAATTTAAAAGTAATACACCATAAGACATCTAAATCATATAATATATGAGCCACAAAGTGATCCCACAGTTATACTGTATTTAAATATAAAACGAAACTTAATATTATGTAGAGAACTAATAAAAAAAATATATGAATAAAATACGAGTTTCGTTTTTAAACACAAAATCTCGTGACATTATTATAAACTTGGAATGTAATATATTCTAAACTCTTTAAAAATATTTTGAGGAATGAAAATTAATGTAAGTACACCGTCCATCGTAGCCTGTAGGTACATCGTAATTTATTTCATCAGGTACATAAGCTATTGTGGCTGGACTGGCTTGTATCTAACTAAATATTACATTCAAAATCAATAATATAAACTCAACGCACCTAAATAATAATGCTACAAAAACCAGTATTAAGTAAGACACATTTTTTTTTTGTACCTTGATATTTTATAATTATGTTTGGAATTTAATAGAAATTATTTGGGATAGTTATTATAATATATTATGATACAAAGGATATTACCATTTACAATCAAATTTGTATTAAAAAAATATTCTTTAAACTAGGAATAGGTACTAAAAAAAATTTTTTTTAAGTGACATCTAAGATATCAGTTGAATATACGATTTTTGTGAAATTATTACAACTTATAACATTTATAGGTTACTTTTTATACAAACAGATTAAATAATGTTTAGATTTTAGAACAATATCTTTAACATCTTCTTTTAAACTAAACATTGAAAATTTTCAAAGAAATCAATTTTTGTTTTTGATTTAATCATTTGTTTGTTATAACAAGATTTTCTCTGTTACAATGCTTCGAATATTTATACTCGCATAATAAATTGTTTTTATGATAATTTGTTCAAAATAATGAATCAAACCACTATCGGAATATAATTTGTTTGCTGGAAAACGAACCTTTCACTATAAACCTATTACTGTCTGCAAATCCTTTAAAATAGAGAAAGAACATGAGCAAGGAAACATGTACAAGTATCGTACTTAAGTCAAACAATACATTTTATTGCTCACAATTCATCATATAAATATCAGACATATTATGGAGTAAGGAACACGATTGATCTTTTGAGGCATTGTAAAACATATATTCGGCGTAAAAATTGATTAGAAAAGTTTTATCTAATGATTGAACTAAAATGTATCAACTAATATATAGAATTTATCTATGTCAAACATTTTACTTGGTAACTAATTCAATAAATGTTCAATTAGTTTCGGTTTGTCGCGCGTCGCGTGTGCGACGATTTCAAATGGTTTCACGCCAAACACAAACACGCCGGACATCATCTAAATTGTATGGAATTGCTTATATTCGTCCGCCCGCCCACTTTCGTCATGTATTTAGCACTGTTTACGGAACCGACGCGATCGATATTAATAATTAGTATTAATCGTCGTGTGACGGTAATAATGTCATTATATTATCATATTATTACTACTATCGTGTCCACAATGTTAGACAACATCGCGGTGGACGTGGGAAAAATCGGTCGTTTCTTTAAGCGTGTGTTCACGAATTACCATAATGGTATTATTATTAATTTGAAAACCGACAGTGCGTATCGTGTGTTGTACGTAGGCACTCGACAGCAGGCAAATTAAATCTGCTTCCTGCTGCACTCTTACTGGAGGCCGTTTTGGAATAATACCTAATGTATTTCATTAGCCTAGATTTTCGCGATGGCACTAATAATAATAATTGGTATATCGCGTAGGCACACGAGTTTGGTAAAGCCGGGTGAAAAATTAGACGGAAAAACAAAGGCCAAAAAACACACACCAATTATTGTTGTTGTGCTATAATGAATGACACTGAGGAAGAATAATAATAATAGCACCTAATAATAAGACGATCCTCGACGTCCGTGAAAGGACCCGTAGTCATATAGTGTCGTGTTGTACCTATATAAAATGTAACTCTGATAACATATAACACGACTTAAGACTAATTGGTATGTCATGAGAATACTGACCGTGGCACGGGACGTGACGTATTTGCATATATTTTGTTTTAGGAGAGTAAATATAATATAAGAGAAATCTGATTAGAAACAAATGAGTTTCATGATGCCGGTAAATAAAATCAAAAAACGATTACCTACCTATTGTATATTTTTGCATGTGTTGGTATTTATTTGTGTGCAATTATGTTGTAGCGATTTGGAAGGGGTTTTATTGCACAATTCATAATTCTTTTAGTTGTTAAATAATTTATAATAAAATACAAATTGTTGAATAAAGTAAACCAACTACACTCACCAAAATAATGGGCTTATGCGATTTTATTCTTAATCCTAGATATAATAAACATTCGACATTTTCAAAAATAAATTATTATTTTATGAATATGCTCAATGGAAATATTTGCATTTATTGAAATGTATCCACTTTAATCAACTTATATAATTAATAATTTTTTTATACTTTAACTTTTTTTTTGAAAAGTATATATTATGAATTGCGCATAATACTTAATTACATAGTTCAAGTATTTTTAAGTGCACATTTTAAAGTGGTTTTGTTCATTAATACTATTTAAATGTAAGCATCTTAAATCCTGCAGGCAATAACAGACGTGTATTTTATATGTTTTCCTCAGAGCAACTGTTCAAAAAGAAACTTATGTCAAGCGGAATGGCTCTTATGTTGATCATCAAGCTGATCAAAATCAAGGTTCTGTTATTGTTGCCGCTTTTGATCGGAGCGGGAGCCGCCAAGAAGATACTGCTCAAAGTCCTACTGTTCGTGTTCCCACCGTTGGCCCATTTGTTCAAGCTGTGTTCGTACTACCACCATCACGCCTCCAAGTTCTATCACTTCCACCATCACAAGGTATGCGAGAATGTAATCAGCAGATATGGGTCGTTGTCGGTCCTTATCGTCCTTAACTTGAAAAATAAGATTTGTTCTTTAGTTGATTTTACACCTAGCATAGGGATATGTTTAAAGACCTCATCATATCTTCAGGCTGCTTAAACTCTTTATAACAATTCATTTTGGAAGTAATATGATCATATTGTTAATCTTTGTCTGACATGGTTTCAGCTTTGTTCTTTTCAATCGTTTCATTTTCAGTATCATACAACGATACCTCAGACCTATGAAAATTTAAAACTGACAACTTCGCTCGAAAAATCGTTAGCAATCGTTAGAATTTTTAGGCATAAACTATTATTTCTTTGATCTGCCGACAATCGTTCGCAATCGTGCTAACAAAAAGGATTTACGACGGATTTATGACGGTTTTCAATTAAGGTCGTTGTCTGTGGCCTATCATTTTTAAGGAATTATCTTATCCTTTTTGCTGTTCATGTTGACCAATGTGAAGTTACACACTCATCTCCTAATCGACCATATTTTAATAGGTACAAGTGGTACCATCCGATGTATAAAATAATGTCCGGTACCGTACGATTAATTGAAATTAAACATAATATACAACGCGTTCGAAATCAAATTATCGTATGAACCCATGTTGTTATGCAGCAATATTTCAGAATGACGATAAGATAATAATTAGTGAAATTCAAACCATTATACACGTAATGACAACAACGACTAAGGGGGTCACGAAACATATATAATGAAATAACCTATGTGTCCATTTGTCATAATTATACCATCTCGCCGAGACTTCGTTAAGCACTCTCTTCGTCTAGTTTTTAATAATGCACAAGCTACACACATAGCTTTCTTGCAATAGACAGCCCACATTAATATTATTGCAACCACCGCTGCTGTTTAGACTGTCTAGAGCATGTGTCATCACATTATTATTTTGGCGAAAGCGCGCGCCGTATAGGTATGCGAGATAAATTTAGTATATGAATCGTTAAGTATCGCTCATTCGCTATTTAATAATTCATAACAATAATAGTGTAATAATATAATTATATATATATATATATAATCTGCAGTTGATTAATGATATCGATTGTTTCGTCTATTCAGGTGAAGCACCACCACCACCATCTCAAGATCCCTGTTCCGGTACCTGTGCCAATCAAACCACCACCGAGCTACCACGGAGATTACTACCCTGCCGGTCCCACGTTGGACCATCCACCTCCGTCGGGACCATACGATTCTCCCGAGGTACATACTTATGCCATGATATAATTTTTTTTCTGGTCGTTTTGCGATGATACTATCCAAACTGAGCTGAACCCAACCCAATTTTAACAATGATTTCGACGATCGTTTTAGGCTTTGGGTGGAGGCGGTGACTATTACAACCGTAACAGTTTGGAAATGAGCAACGTGGTGTCTGACCACGCGGACGAGCTGGCCAGTTGGGGGTTGGGCGAGTACGGGGAAGGCACGTCACAGTACGACGCCCCCAAGTACTCGTACTCGGCATCGCCCGCTCAATACGAACCGCTCAAGTACGGCGGCGACGGCGGTGGAGGTCCTCCTCCACCATCGCCGTACGCTGAGAAGTACGTCAACAGAGTGGACAACAATCACGTAAGCATGAATCTAAATTTTTTCCATTCATGTCCCGCATGAACAGTGGGCTACTCGGTGAATAAAGTTTTTTCCTCTCAAAGTCTCAATAGACGTGTTCGAAACACTGATTGTTTATTTATAATAATATGTCTAAAAGCCGGACAGCAGTGTCAAATAATAATATAGCCAATATGAAGTTAATCCAATATGGACGAAACTAGACATTTTTATTGGCTCGGTTTGACCTATAAATCATATTATAGTAGACAAATATTAGGCCAAATGACGTAGATATCGAACACGACAATAAAATAATACTAGTTTTACGTTTTGGTGAAAATATGCTCGTATTTTACTAAATCGAAAAACACAAGCGTTTTGACAGCGAATCAATTTATATTTCCGTCAACGATTTCGAGTGAACGAAATTCGAGTTTCCGAAAGTGCACTGCAGTACAGTATTATGACGTATGGCCCGTAAAATTAATGTAAATATTTGAATACATCTGTGTGACGCTGCCAGTGAGTACGCGATGAAGTTTAGCGCTGAAGGTATTTGAACTCTCCATCGGTAATAAATTACGAGCTAAACTTGTTCCGGGTGCACATTAACACATTACATATTATGTCGTTTCATGGGCGACTAGAACGAGTTCCGTCAACATCGATAGTTCAACGTACAGCCGTATAATATAGGTCCTATTTCCTTCTTTTTTTCCGTTTAGACGATAATACGGGAACTGCATTTTGCACTGTTAGCACTTCTTTATCACTACCGTCGATTATTAAATGTTTTTTACCTTCGTTTACCACTGATACAATTGCATATATTGTTATAATATACATAAATTACTTATACTTTTCCACGCCGTGTTCAGTACCTACATAACATATTACACCAAAGACGTATAATCTCGGACACATCCCTTTCCAGGGAGTGGGGGGAGGTGAATAGGGATGATCGTTTTTATTCCATAACAATCTGGGCGTTAGCACTTCAATAGCATGATACAATGATATTATTATACTTATATATTGATAATATCATCTGTCACGTTTACTGTTATATTGCGAACTAAACTCGACCGCCGACGCAAATAATTTCAGGCCTTGGGCAGACCGCCACCCGCGCCGCAACAGGTGGCGACGCACGACCCAGTGTACACTCCGGTCGTACAGAAATTGGACGAGATATTCCACGAATTGGCCGTGGCCGAGGAACCATGTAAAGAGAAATTAGTGTGCAAGATGTACGGCGACCCCGGAAGATTCAGTCCACACAGCAACCTGGTGTCTGCGCAGTTGAGCAGGTAACGAATCGACGATTTCTGATTTTAAACATTTTTATGCATTATGAGCATAATATAACATCGTGTTATATGTTCATAATTTATTATATTTTTGTATCATGACGTACGATATTGTCGGTTTCGAATTTACATGTTTAAGGCTTAGAACGCGGAAGGGGTGGGCGACGGGAGGTGGGCGAGAGGGGCCGTACAAACCCGTTCACCTACTTCCGGAACATTTTTTTTCTTTCCCAGTGATGAAAAAATATAAATAAATAACGACATGAAAAAAACGACCCGCGCCACGCGACCCACTTGTATATAACCTGTTCACTACCCGACTATGGCTGGGATGACCTACTTGGCGCGCCGCCGCCGGCCGATGGGATTACTATATTATGATAATCCTTTATAGGTCACGGCCTTGAACTTGTCGCACACGGGTCGGATATAGTATGTATAGAAATCGCATCGGCGCAGCGGCAAAACGGAAAACGACACAATGAATAGATGTAAATCGTTTTGCCGCTGTACTGTGTACGATAATAATATTATTATAATTATATAATAAATAATATTATATTATACTTAATACACATTGGTAACAATAAAATAGGTACTTATATATAATCCATCACCAGACGATTGACAACGAATTGTACAAGGGCGTTACGTGCTCATAAATGTACAAAAACGCACCTGGGGTTAAAAGTGGGAGATTCGTTTCTTTTTTATGCGCTGAGACAACATTTTAATTAGAAAATATTTAAGACGTTTTAAAGGCTCTGGCACAATATTGCAAGACACATCTATATGTGAGATGGCCTGAAACGGTCCCTGAAATGGCCCGTGAAAGAGGAAATCATTGGCCCGTCTTAAATTTGGCACACTTTTAAATCGAAATGAAATTACGTCCATGGTGCGGTGTGTATTATATTATTTATACACATGAGTTCTGTGACAAATATTTACACATGTTGCCGCGTATTCAGTATGAGCTGTACTGTCGTCACATATATTATGAGCCTTTTACGTGCTACTACACTATAATATGTACATATAGGTACCTACACCCGAAACCATAACGACGAGTCGATTTATAAGACCGAAACCACATTCGAGCGTATAACGCGAAAGTGTACGCACGGGAAGCACGTATGCTTTAATTTTGTGAAATTTGATTAATTCAATTGCGAGGAAAAAAAATTTAAAAATAAAAAAAGATACTCATCGCTGTGTATAATATAATATTTTTATGATGAACGCGTGTTCTACATAATAATATACGTACCTGTCTCATCGATTAGACAAAGCATTAACAGTAGGTATAATATTTTGGTGGGATGATTCTGAATCATTTCAATATCGGTATATAAAAATCAGTTCTGGCCTAGTGTTGTTTTCTATACTACACTAGATATAATTAAGTTTTATTAAATATGACTGCGATATTAAAATAAATTATCAACTAAAAATAAAATATTTTGAAGAGCTTTAAAATCAGTTTTGAAGTGTGCGTCAAAAATTTAAGTAAATATACATTTGGAATTACATTACAACCGTAAGTTATTTACCATCATACTATTCAGATTTAATTATTTTAAATTCATTTTGTATTGGGTATTTACTATCTTCATTAAAATCCAATATAAGTGTATGGTCATTGTGAGCATAATGTCAATTACCTACCAACCCAACTTAGTCTATTATCTAAATATTATTTTGAACATAAATTATAAACATATTGTATAAAATAAATAATAATGCGTCATAAACGTTTCGTTATTATAGCAAGCATTTTCAGTGTGGAAATCCTGCTTACTTTGTACTATAATATAATCATTAATCGTAATAATATGTATCGTAACGAATATTAAGTTCTTTTCACATAAACATTGACGGTTGAAAATTACCTAGTAAATCCGTTTGGCATCTCAAAACCAGAATTCCTTCACAATAATATGATTTACGATTTCCTTTGTGTGTAATAAGTTAAACGAAATGAGTGTTAACATAATACAATCGATTTTAAAATATATGGATACATAATTCGATCGACTATCGACATTAGTTGTGCTTAAGTTTTAATTTATATCGACGGAATGCGCTGTTATAATTTCAAAAAACGAAAACCCAACTGAACAACTTGTTTATTTAGTTATGCGTTTGTATGATATACAAAATAAAAACTGTTTTTGTAACAATACGACATTAATCAGGTCAATAACCGAAATCATAATCAGGTGTATGATATTTTAATATATCGTGTTACCCGTATCGATTTCAGCTTAAAACCGTTCCGTTTGAAATCGTCTCATTCAATAATAAGAATAACTACTTAATGAGTATAGACGAAAGTCCCATAATTATATCACAACACGACTACGCCGGTGATTTTTGCATGTCGGAATATGTCAATTCACCATTTCTTTCGACGATCATTAATCATAACTGGAATAACTCAAAAATAAAGTCGTGTGTTGACTCTAAATTAAAACCTTTACAGACATGTCATTATCTCATGAAACAATAACACATGCAAGTGATTATTAATTAGTTAAACGTGAATTATGCGTGGGAATAATATAATTACCTTGACTAGGTAGTAGTATATCGTTATTGTCTTTTAAGACAATCACACGACGACGACTTGTTCACCGCAAACGACAAACAATATTATTTACATTGTCATAAAATTGTACAAATAACCACGAACATATTATTATAATATAGTATAATAATAATACTTAGACATTGTTGAGATAAACAAAATACGGATGTAATTTATTGTCTTGTATAAATCGTAATTCATTTGTTCAACAAATAACGGACAATGAAAATCCATGCTCAGGGTATATCATGATAATCAAAATAATATTGAAATCTCCTTGCCATAGGTCACTTTCTTTGACATAATAATGTGCTATAGATACCTACACTATACCACTGCGATGCGGCACGTAGTGATTATTATGATCGGGCTCACAAAGTATAAAAAAATCAAAACTAAAAAACAATGTCCTTGGGTACTTTCATTTCATCTCTTCAATAATTCCGCCCACAGACTGCTGCAGTGGGTTTCTTCTGAACATCATCACAACGTCATACGCGCGCAACTAATACAATTTTATTATATTTTCACGATTCATAATGGATCGCTTCCACTCGAGTCATTGTAACAAATGTGTTATTATTTCCATCATTATCATTATCGTTGTTGTTATTATTATTATTATTATTATTATATTTTACGTACGTGATTCCATTGTTAGCACACTGACACAAATAATTCGTTGACACATTCGTACTAGGAAAATGTCCGCACAACCAGCTTGTCATCCCGCAAAACTGGATGCATTATTATTGCCCTCGTGGCACACGCTCAGGAATGGGCATCGCGGGCAACCATCTTCAAACCTAATTTCTCCGTTTTAATTAGACGCGAGCATTACACTATTTCTGTATTAGACGAACTCAATTAATGCTTGCGTAATTACAAACTGGTTTTTACCATATATAACATCTCTTCGAACGTGTTAAAACCATGTTGTTAGATACTTAGGTATATGATATTATTATGAATTGAACGGAGTCTATAGTGCGAATATATATATTATATATATATCTTATGCAGAGTGCAGAGAACTCTAAATTCTCCGTGTTGATTTCGATACAGTAAATAAATGTTAGGAAATTCTCCAATATTGGGCAAGTAGTACCTACCACATATGTAGATACTGTTCAATAAAATTAACCATTAAAAGGATTAATGATGAAAATTGGAATGGGATTATGAGTTACTATATTATATGACTATCATAAAATATAATTGTTAAGATGCAGTGTGGTGTAGCGTAAGCGCGACCTCCAATTTTCGGTATTAAAAATCTGTAGGTAGGCCCAAATTTAGTATTAAATTTTTAATTTCTGAAATCATTTAGCATCAGGCTATTCTCTTTAAAGTTTAAACATCAAAAACACTCAATATAATTATGAATAAAAATAGTATTTTATAATATGTAAATAGTAAAATTGTAAAATATAATGTTTGTTTATCTGGATGTAGTATCACAATACATGGATGCTAAAAAATATGTGAAGCTTATTTTTACAGTCTTACTTAACTAATATGTTATACTTTTTCCAATAGAAGTATAGTTTCCCTAATATTAAGTATAGATTTTGTCACTCCTGTAAAAATTAAAATATAAATAAATATAAAATATTGGAATGGTTCATTAAGCCTCTTCATTTTATTATAGGTTTTGGTTTGTATAGGTACCTCGTAATTTGTCGATAGAATATATTAAACTCAATGAGTTGACTCAAAAATGTAATTAAAGTGTGCAAATCGACCTTTTCATTATGCATGCTATTGCCGACAGAAATTACAATTTACACGTGACGGAAAATGTATAAAAAAACAATTTAAATATTTATTGAGACATATTATTTTCATGGCGCACTTATGTTACATTTCAAATTTTTTGATGAGAATTCTTTTCGACGTCGAACTGGTTATGTGATATTAAACATAAAACTATATGAGGTTGATAGGAAAATAAGAAGTGAAGGTTTTTTATTTTGGAGGCTGGCTTTATAATATATAGTTCACGAATTTATGTATTAATTATATCTGATATTTTATGTCACTTTAAATGTCAAGTTGTCATAGTTCATAATAATAAAAAAAAAAAGTGCAGGTGCACTATATCTAATAATGCATAGAACTAGTTTAACACTATAAATAAAATAAAATAAAATATTAAAAACACTATTAGGCAAGATTTCGGAACTCTTCGGAGGCCTCGCCCACTCGTTAATATAAACATGATACAATAAAATAAAAATATAAAATATCATTTCAATATGCAAGCCATAACTGTAAATCATTTTTTTTCAACTGCAGTAAAAATAAAACGATCCGAGCAGGTCTGTCTGTGTACGGTCAAAAGAAGTGCACAAAATGTCGAGTTAATATTATTAACTACAATAATAATAATGGTAGGTACAATGAAAATGACTAGTAATCTACCTACAACAGTCCTCGGCGAGTGTTCAAAACTGTTTTCCCGTACAATATAGGTTCATTTAGAGTAATGTATTTTTTATAAAAAAAAATACAAATACACGCACGCTAATGGCAAAGTACACATTTTTTTTTTCATCGCAAAGGGGTTATTTATTTTTCTAATCCAAAACAATTTATTTCTTAAACTAAGTGCCTTGATTACCCATGTAACCTGCAGCTATACGATACAATAGCGCGTACATACAATACTCTTACAAGGCTGTTAAAATTCGTTTCCTCGGTCGCGGTCACTATTTCGCCGCCAAAGTCGGTTTTTGATTTCTAACATAATAGAAATAATGTTCTCTTTCATGTCATATCTATACTCTAGAGTGCGCCTTGCAGTACACTGCAGCGCAGGTACCGTGTAAGTACCGACGGATTACACGTCAGATAGTAAAATATCATATAAATCATACAATAAATTACAAGTGTCGAACAACAACAACAACAACAACAACAATGGGTTTAAGACTGACGACCGACTGACGTTCGCCGCGACGTGTATACCAGAGCCGGTATCCTTGTAGTGGTATATAATATAACCTAATGACTTCGATACAAAAGCCTTCTAACATCTATTCTTCGGAGGGCGCGTCGGGTGATCAATGATCACTGCAGTGTTATAGGTCATGTTTTGTGATGTAGGTACGCGTACCCATACCCGTATGGTCGTGTGGGTCCGAGAGGAACTCTGACCAGACGATTTATTTACCGTTATGGATTTCAATGGGTACCTAAATTAATCTCATTAATGACTGTTTTTCTTTTTCTGTTCAGCGAGACGGCTGCGAGTTCCGGCGGAAGGACGGGCGTCAGCGCAGACGCCGCGAGACTGTGGCGTTACGTACAGGCGGCCAAGGAAGGCCAAAACGGCGAAGACTGTCGCATCCTCTATCAGGCGTGCAACATGATCGGACTCTGATGACGACTGACTCACCGAATAAAAAAAAAAAAATTTTAAAAATAAAAAAAAAAAAAAAAAAAAACATTTAGAAAAAATGAAAATTGTCTACTCGGTACGCCGCCGCCCGGCACACGAGTACTGCAATTCACACGGTTTTTGTAATGAAGGCGTTACAATTATTCATCCTCGGCAGTATTGAATCACTTAATTATTTATTTATTTTTAAATACGTTCAAAGCTAACCAGACACGCGCAACATATACGTATAGGTATAGAATAAAGTAATATAATAATAATATATTATACGCACACATCTAGTCACCTCAATTCGTAGATATAGGGCAGCGGTCATAGACATACCTAGCCAGACAATAATATAAAATGATAAAGTCGATGGATCAGCGGTTATACTATGGGCATCGGTTTGTACGTATATACAACTGTGAAAATTCGACTAACAATATCATCAATAATACCCCTCGTGTTATTATTATTACAACACGTAAGTGCCCACACTACAATTTACCATAATATATAATATTATCACAAATTCGTAACTATTATTGTGATGTAAACAAAATGTATCGAAGCGCAAACTAGTGCTCATAATCATCTTAGACAATGATAATAATATGTACGTTATCGTAGGCTAAAAAAAAAAACACTCTATTCGTCCACTGTTAAATATCGCACACGTTATTTTAATAGTTTTTAAATGAAATTGTATTGCTGTACACCCTTGGTAAATCTCTGCACGCTGCTCTTTATGCGCAATAATGTCGTCTCCGTTCACAGGAGTCAGTTATTATTAATATAATATAGAACACTAACCGATTTCAAACATATTTATTATACCTACGCCTTACAATCCCGTGTCCTCACTCTCATTATCCTTATAATAGTAGTAGGTATTGTATTGTTTAGTAATTTATTTATTTATTATTTTTTTTTTTTACCGTAGTGCGCACTGTAAGATTCTTAGTGCAGTGTATCACGCTACCAGTTTAGTAAAACACATTGTTTATTATTTTATTTATTTATCAACCTATAATATTTATTATATACAATTTTATTTGACGTGCCCATAAATTTTGAATATTGTATAATTAGTAGTTTATTGATCGAAACAATGTGATAGTTCATAGATTACACATGTCTCAGTATACCTACCTATTGAAATGTACATAATATTATATGATAGGTAGTGAATTAGGTGTACTTTACAATATTATTACCTATAGTAATTTATTATGGAAACTATATATTATGATTATATCACTGATATCAATGTTCGAGAACTGTATGTATTTTTTTTTTTTTTTTGCTGTTTAAAACCAAATATTATAACTTTATGAGTAAGTAATATATAATATAATGTATACATTTATAATGGATATTTATTATTATATCGTCAAGCAAACAATTTTCACAGTCACTTTGAAGTTTGGTCGTTAAAAAATAAGTAACAATAGTGCAACTTATAATGTGGCACCTACCTTAAAAACTAAAAACATTTTGATGTGTTTTTATTATACTCATACAAAAAGCTTATTGTTTTAGATGCATTTAATACTATATTAGTATACATTTTAAAATTATCCTTATGTCACTGAAACGAAGAATATATCTTCTAATTAAGTTCTACAGATATGTTTTTATCCAAATTTCTTGATAAATAATGTTATGTTTTGTGACAAAATAAAATGATTAATTATTTATGTATTATATTATTATATGTATTTATTTCAATATTATATTTTGAAAAATGCGAAATTTTTTTTTAGCATAAGTGAATTATTTGACGGAAATACTGCAATATCTAATTAACATTATACATATAAATTCAAATGTTGTATGAACCAGTTATTCACTCGATCAAAAGGAAATTGTCTATCGTCTGAAATTGTACGGTATAATTATTATGTATCTAGCTTGCGTTTCTCAATAAAACCCTCATTAATAAATTATGTGGTGTTCAATAAGCAATGGATCCATGATTGTATGATATAAAATAGGATAATACCTAATCTTGGCGAAATCGTGAACTGTTGAAATCGTCTTAGTTGAAAAAACACGATAAAATGAATTTTCAAGTATATAGTCATTTTTGTACTCTTATATTTATTCAGTATTATTGTACTGGATCGATGAATATAATAGTTTTTTTTAAATGTATTATCGGTGCCATAGGTACTATCGACTATAACGTTAGAAAAAAAATGTTTATCTAAGATATACTCAAACCGGAACAGACGTAATATATCATTATTATTACTATTATTATTGTTATTTCTATTATTATTGTTGTTATTATTATTAATTATTCATCACTAACCCTTCGAGTCACAATGTTATTACATTAACAAACATGCTGGTTAAAATGCGCATTTTATTTTCGTTTCATCGTTCTAGGTTCGTTTGAAACAATTTAATAACAAACTGTAAATTACGTAAAAATAATAAAATTAAAAAAATTAACGTGTGCCTCAAATAACAGTTAAGTATACACATGGCCACATGGGTGTATGTGTACGCCTTGAAACTTTTCAACAATACAATCACACACAGTGGTATACCTACACTATATACCAAAACTATAATCTCTAGAACCGACCGTATGGTTGATGCAATAATGTCGAATATTTTAATTTACTATGAGAAACTTATAATGTTATGTGCTAATTATGAAGAAAATCCCCGTTAGATACCTTTTTTAATTCGGCTATGAGCGTGTGTACACGAAGTGTTTGAATAATATCAATTATAAGTGAACATGCGTGAGAATACAATTTTAAAAACTAATTATAATACTAAATAATTCTTGATTTTAGCATAGTATATTATTGAGGTGGTGGAAGCGATTATCAGCTATTTTATTTGATCATCGCGTGTTTGAATTTAATTTATGTAAATTTTTTTAAAATTTTTTTTTTAATACTTAGTTACCTATTTGATAAGTTTCGACGAATCTACAAAAGAAGCGATATCCTATTATGCAAATCGATTTGAAATGTACAACTCATCAGACTTAATTTTGACTGGCATAATATTGTTTATATTATTTCGTCAGTACCTACCTACTTATGTATTATAATACCTAAAACAAATAACAATTATGATAATTACAAAATATTATTTTTATTGTAGTTATGTTGATATATTACTGTATAATAGGTATTTATAGCATTAAATCACGAATGTAAAGTATGTAGCTAATCGAAAACAGTAAAATAATTTTACCGTTTTCGTGTCGATTTTCACCAGAAATCCTTTGTAAAATCTTATAATATAATCTATGTTTAATGGAAAAAAGGAGGAAGTCGCTTCGCTGTATTGTAGGATTTGAGTAAACGTTGTTGAATGTGTTGAATAGAATCTATGGCACTGACGTCTGACACTATATACTGACGTAATTTGTATACAAATACATGATACGATTCGTGTTATTACCTGTACACGCGTATTATATTTTAATATTGTTGTTAATTGTTATTATCCGACATATGGTTATGGCTATATAGCTATAAGTACCTATAGTTGTATAGTAAACTTTCCTACATTACTAAATTAAAATATCAAGTAATTATAACAATACATTTTCGATAGTCCACTATTATTAATCGTGTACGTTGTATATGATTTGAATAATAATGTTGAATATAATGTTTTATCTTATCAATTAAAATTTAAAACTGTACATTTCAATACAGTTGTATACAAATTAATTTACTTATAAGCGTATTCATAATAATTATTTTTGGTGGATAAGCTTTCACCCAAACGGTTTTATATTTGTACAAAAATCATTTTAAATTTATATCATAATTTAAAGCTTATATATTTATTTGATTTAAAATGTTGGAGGGGGGGGGGTGATGATGTAACCACTCACACATTTTTACAACTCGATATAATATTATACTTGTTGGAGTGTATAAATATAAATATTAAATTATACTATGTAGTAAAATCACTTCGAGAGTATAATATATTATAATATATCGATCGAATTTTGTATTTAAAATGTTGTAACGTAGCTGTATTTTAACCATAAGTAATGAAAAAAAAAATTCAAGAATAACTTTAAATTTGTATTTATTAATTTTAGTTTAATATTATTATGTATGTTTAGACTTTTAGAGAATAATTTTTTTAAGGGCGATCGCACCATCGTCTGCCTTAAATTATTATAACTTTTGAAAAGAGTAAAAGATTTAAAATGTTCATTTTATACTTAAACTTGAATATTTTAGTACAATTATTGCAGCATGCATAAGTACATGCACATAATAAATAAATTTATTAATATTAAAACTATTCTACCGAGTGTCAGCCTCTAATTCTAAAATTATTTTAGGTCTTATTTATATTGCTATTCATTGTTTATTTTTATATTACAGTATTGCAGCAGTACAGTATGTTAAACTAATTTTACCTTAAAAAAGAACATATAATTTAATACCCATTATTATTTATAATAATATTTTACTAATATAATTAACTATTAAAATGTATAAGTCGATGCCACATAAGTACTGTGAATAAGTGAATAGGTTTATTAAATAATTATTTTGAAAATTTCATTGTATACAAAAAATAAAAATAAACTTAATGGCATAAAAAAATGCATAATATCAAGTTAGATATTTTTTTAGTTGTTGTATGAAAAACTTAGGAGGAACTCCGTAATACTTACATTTAAATCCATACCTGTTAAAATTTAAAATTTAATATATTTTTAACTTCAAAAGATTTGCTAAGTGTGTAGAAATTTAAACTTCATACGCTAATAAAAAAAAAACTGTTCCGCTCAGCACCTAAAATTAACACACAATATCAAATATAATAATTTGTAACTATACAGTTTACATGTAGTATTTAAAGTACTGCATTAGTACAACTCATACTTTAACAAAAAACATTTATTGTTATTAATGTTTTTATAAAACAGTACATTAAGTTCCAACGTCATGTAGTAAAATATATTTATTTATACTTTAAATTTGATGAATATACAAGCCAAATAAAAGTGGGAAGACTACTTTAAAATCCTTTAATTTTGTAAATGGCCTGCGTATATCTAAGAAATCAACTTCACGCATCCATACACTTTAATTGAAGATGGTCGATGGTTGATAGTGACAAGGACATTTTTGTAATAATATATTATGTAGGTATATAATTACGTCGGATAAATAAACAATTCTATAAAAGATAAAGAAAAATAACCTTTTATATAAATAATATAATAATTAAACATATTTTTAATTTAAAAAAATGAGTTGAGTATATTTATGATTTTTGCATTACCCGGTGAATAAAATTCTTGCTTTCTCGCATAGTAAAAAAAAATTTTTTGGTAATTATTTTCAAGTTCTTAGAATTAACATAGGTATTCAATTTGATAAAAAAATATTTTCAAAATCGCATATGTTATACCTATATTTTTACATTTATTTTTGAACTGTTATAGTTTTATGTATTCTATATCAAATCATAACGTTATTGGTATGAAGAATGAATAGACACATATACCACTGAACATCTATACAGTAATTATATTATCCATACCAACAAATTTCTCAAAGAGTAATTCAATTAGAACTATATACGGATCGAGGATTGATTATAATGTTAGTAAATATCAAAAGTTTTGGAGGTGTAGGCATACATATGTCAAGTGTAATATGTGGTTCGAGAGAAACATTTAACGACACCCTGATATGGTTAAACATTAAAAGCATGTCTTAACATCATGACGTATTAAATCTCTATCATAATTGATTTGATGTAAGCTAAAATAATAAATCCTAATTACCACGGGGCACAAATTATACTTTTACTATCACTTGACGAAAAGCGTCAATAAATCATTGATCTCGTGTTAAAATTGTACTGCAATATTTGACTTTGAATTATTCCATAAAATTAAAGTTTGAGGTGGCTAATTTTTACTTAATAGGTCAGATATTTATGGAATATATTATACGATTTTTTCTTTATAATAGAGCACTATAATTTAGATTTTATAATTATCATTTACTGCCATCATTTGAAATAAAACGCATTGGAATAAAATGCGTTGGAAATAAACATTTACTAAACATTTGTTTATATTTTATTTTTATTGCAGTTTTTATGGCATTTAGAACGGCGTGTTATATAGGCAATTTTGGACCATCATTCAGGTCCGTTACCCCACTATCACCAAAGTAAATATATAAGTCAAATAATATCCTATCGATGGTTATTTCATTTGCAATAATTCCTAATCCCGATTTCAACATTTGTAAATCTCCCAAATTTGGGGAAATCAATCGCCACAGTTTGGGGAGATGTACAAATAAAGAAAATGGGATTACAAATC